TACTGATCTAGAATTGACCCTCTAGTTCTCCCAGAGGACCATTTTAACCTCTATTTCTTTTTTGAAAACTAAAATTGCAACATATTTGCACCGTACTTAGTTTTAGTTTTTTTTGATAAATGTGTCTTCATTATGTTATTAATATTACAGTGCTTAAATGTAGGGGTGTCTAAAAAGTATTGCGTAGTTCTATTTGTATTCATCGCAACGGGTCATTCTCCAGCTTGTTGATATTTTTGCTGTTTATGGACCCGATACAGTTTCCATTTGCACCGCACAACGATAGTTTCAACGTTTTCGTTCTTGTGTAAAGGTGATCGAGGATGGGCCACGCTCCGGAAGGCCTGTCGTCGAAAATTGCGACAAAATCTCTGGATTGGTCGAGAGAGACCGGCATAGTAGCAGCCGAGCATTGGCCAAGAGTTGGGCATGAGGCATCAAACCTTGGATTCAGAATTAAGCTTCGATATGTGTGTGCCACTCGAATTTACGCAGAATATTTGCTGTATTGACCCGTTTCTGAAGCGGATGGTAACTGACAATGAAAATTGGGTCACTTACTATAACATGAAGCGCAAACGGTCGTGGTCGTAGCGTGGTGAAGCGGCCCAGGCGGTGGTCAAGCTCGGATTGACGGCAAGGAAGGTTCTGCTGTGTGGCCGGTGGGACTGGGAGGGAACCATCCACTATGAGCTGCTCCCCTATAGCCACACGCTCAATTCGGACCAATACTGCCAGGCCATACACATCTTTGGTGAGTTCCGATAACTCGGTTGGGAAATTCCTTTGCATGCACCAAGGGAATACCACCAGTTTCTATCCATGGCGAAAGAGCTTGGTAGTCGGAAGTTGGCCACAAAAGAGGCCTATAAGAGGGGCATTATGAAGTTGGCACATCGTTGGTAACTAGTCGTTGAACAAAACGGCGACTATTTGACTTAAATCGCTTGATTGTTACTAATTTTATGAATAATTGAAAATTCAATTAAAATACCGCAGGACTTTTTTGACACCCTTATATATGTTAACACTGTTAAGGAGTAATCATAAGTCGATACAGATCTTGGGTGATTATTGGATCACCCTAGTGTTTAGTTGCAAAATCAGCATAAACATCTTTAGGGGCCGTACCTGGTTCTTGGCGGTGCACGGTATGGTGAGTTATGTTGATTTTGCTAGTGTCAGCACTTTGCTGCACGAGCGGTCGGCTTGCCGGCCGAGCATAGCTTACGTAAAGTCATATATGTTTTCAGTTTTAATTTGGACATTTAATAAAGAGCATTGGCTTGAATGTAAAACTCCGTCAGTGGCCGTCAACACTTATTCTATTAATTGAAATTGGTTACCGAGCCTTAAGGGCCGTTAGCAACGGAGTCAGTTACTCCCAACGTAGTCTTCGTAAGCCATTGGCAACCGCCCGGCACATTCATATGAGCAGCCAGCCACGGTGGCAATTACGTCTTCACCCCTTCCCCCGGACCAGCCACGGTGGCAATTGGATCGCAACTCTTCACCCTCACGGACAGCGGCAAGGGACAGTGCGAGGCTGCACAACTAAAACATAATTTATATATAAAGTGATCTGAGCAATATGGTAGAAAACATAGAATATTGGAGCCGTATCCCATATATAACAACCTCTCCCCTCACCCTCCATTATAACCTCCGTAAAAAAGAATCTACAGAAATTTTTTCGTCGTTGGATGATCCTCAACCGCCATCTTTGGGAAGTCCTTTACACCCATTTTTCTCGAAATTCATATTGAACTCATATTCTAACTTATTATCTGGATCTTTAACTAGACACATTTTTATTTCCAATTTGTACGAAATGTGCAAAAAGTATTTAACAAAACGTATTTATGACCCAGTAAAGATAAACCAAATTCGAAAAATGGTATCTAAATTATTAATTTCGGAAGGTTTCGCTAAACATACATAGCATTTAGTTGACAATGATACCCTTGGGGCAAACTTTTCCATCCCCCATATTAAGACGCAACTATGTTCATAAATAACACTAGTTTACAGCCGAAATACCCCCAAGCCAAAAATACAAATTTCTGGTAGAGTACGACTCCTGGATCACTAAAAATTTTTTCTTTGGGACACTTTATTTTTAAAGATTTAGAAAGTTTTTGACAGCTGTCTTTTCAAGTTTTATTTTATATCTCGATTTGTGGCCAACCGACTTTGGTGCATTTTACAAAATTTTACTAACAATAGATCAATATTTAACATTGTCATAATGAGTAATTGGATTGGATAAGTCATTTGTCTGCAAGAGCTCGACAGACACACTTTTTTTTTTTAATTTTGGGCTGTTAAACTATACCCTTAAAAACTCGAAAAAAATTCATTGAAAAATCCATATTAATTCTAACTTATTGTTGGTATCCGACTTAATCGGACAAGTTAATTATGCCAGAAATTAATTGGAAATTCGATTTTTTGTGGATTCTTAAGGTTATGCGTTTTATTTTTTTCGGCCGTCAAGCACAAAATTTTAACAACATCTTAGACAGCTTAGCTTTCAAAGGACTGTTAGATGTAGGCAGTGGTGGCAGCTGTGGGATATTAAAAGAAGCTGAATTTAATATTCAAAAAGCTAAAAAGACCTTAGTTGTGTAGGTATTTGTTAACACATCAAAAAGCAAGGGAAATATAAGATCGTTATTTTTTTAAACCTTTGGTTGTTTTTTATCAGGCTTAGAATAAGATAACAGCAGCTATTTCGAAAAAAAACATGTTATAAACAGTTATAGTTCGAGGAACAAATATCAATTTTAGTAGGGAAAAACAAAACAAACCGTTTTTTTCAAAATAAATAAAACAATATTTTATATAATAAAAACTACATCAACGGTGCATTCGACTTTATTTCATTTAAAATGGTTTAATTTGTGAGTTGTGGTTTTAGCAACTTGTAGCAAATTTTGTACCTTTCTCATTTGTACATTTTGTACTGAAAGAAAGAAAACTTGTATGAAACAAGAAAGCAAGCAAACTTCGGCAAGCCGAAGTTCAATACCCTTGCACCTATTTCAAAAACTAAATACTCTTGAAAACGTTAAAATTATGATTTACTTGCGTGTATGTTTAAAAACATTGAAGCTATAATGATTTGCAGCTTAATTATTCGATAGTTCCTATGGCAGCTATACGATTAGGAGCTATATGCAATAGTCGTCCGATTTTGATGAAATTTAAACCGTAATTCTGAAATATTTAACCATTACTCGAAGAACTAAAAAAAAAATTAAAAAACACCAAAGTTATAATTTTTTTATATTTTTTTTTATGATTGTTTCTATGGGAGCTATATGCTACAGTCGTCCGATTTTGATGAAATTTAAACCGAAATATTTAACCATTACTATAGGTCGAAGAACTAACAAAAAAATTAAAAAACACCAAAGTTATAATTTTTTTAAATTTATTTTTCCGATTGTTCGTATGGAAGCTATATGCTATAGTCGTCCGATCCGGCTCGTTCCGACTTATATACTACCTGCAATAGAAAGACAACTTTTGGGAAAGTTTCATGCAGATTGCTTTAAAACTGAGGGACTAGTTTGCGTAGAAACGGAAAAAAAAATTAAAAAAATTGTAACTTTTTCTTTTTTAAATTTTATTTTGTAAGTTCTTCATATATAAAAATGTGTTTTATTTTAGAATTACGGATTTAATTAAACCTGACTTTCATTAAAACAAAAAGATAAACAATTTTTTTTATTTTTTTTAATTTAAGATATAACATATAACAGATATAACAGATATAATTGTTCAATCACGAAATGTTTATTATTTCATATGTGAATTTTAAAAACTACACTTCTAATCTTGCTGGCCCTTGGCAGAATGTTCAAACATTAACACGTATAAATATAGGAATATGAGACAAACATTGCAGCCACTTGAATGAAACAACACAAGTCTAAAACGACTTCCTATGAGCGGTCACAGAATGTCCTTGACGATAAGTGCTATTAGGCTAGCTGTGTTTTTCTAAGTTAGGGATAAACAAGCCACTCCGTGGGTTATAAGAAATAAGATAATAATCCCACAGCTCTGTGCTGTGTCACTTTGTCAATCGATCTAAACCCATTATTTACGATCTGTTACCAAAACCATGCAAGGGAGCATTTGTTACTACTTGAAATCTGTAAGTACAGGCCACATGAGCCTTCAAACTAATGTCACTGTTGGTGTTTCCCACACTACACAAAGCACTTGTGCGGGAGTCCAACTATAGCTCTCCCGCGCCCGCTCAGGGCAAATAGATGCGCTCCCTGCGTAGCCCAAAGATAAGACTAGAATGACAATCTCACAAATGTTATTTGCTTACAGAGACTTAATAAAATAAAACCGTTCGAAGTTATAACTCAACAAATAAAGACGTCGTATCGTTTCGTAGTTCTTTTCAGCACTAATTATGCTTTGGGTGTGATTATTTATACAGACCGAATATACATATACCGCCTAAAAACTGGCCTCTACCATTTCTCTAGTTTTGCGATTGGTAAAATATTGTGCCGCAGAAGGACATTACGAGATCGACTCGGTTAATTATCCAAACCAAAAAAAAAATATATAAACTTTTTAGGGCTGAACCAACTTTCCTCTACTTGTTACATACTTTTCAACGAATGCGGTATGCTCCTTTATTAACGAGAATTACAGAAATTGGCAGGAATTTCTTATTTTTAAATGTTGATAAAAGCCCCATTTATGTTTATAAATTCACTTTGAAATAAAACATATTTCAGATTTTTTTTCTGTCACACACAGATTATTTTAACATTTCCTGCTCAAACCCTTTTAGACCAAAAAGTTGAATCCGCAGAGTGACCGCTGTATGCCAACTTCACATTATGATATAATATATATAAAATCGCCTAGTGTGTCAGCACATAAATAAATAGCACTGCGTTGCAAAGATAACAAAAAAATCAAAAACTAATTACTTTGTTAAATATTATTTGATATTTCGTCTACAGACGCGCAGAACTGCTGCTTGGCTTGCAGCAAAAATGACCTCGGATGGACATTCTGTTGCTGTGCTTTCTGGAGATTTGACAGTTGAGCAAAGACTTGCTGTTTTGGATCGTTTCCGTTCTGGTCTTGAAAAAGTACTTATAACCACAAATGTTTTATCAAGAGGTATTTTGGATAATATTAAATTAAACATGTTAATACGTTGAATACTTATCTTAATTTAAGGCATTGACATTGAGCAAGTTACAATTGTCGTCAACTTTGATTTGCCGGTAGATGTGCGAGGCAACGCTGACTGCGAAACATATTTACATCGAATAGGCCGCACCGGACGATTTGGTATGTACTTTAATTCTGCAACTATTGGAAAGCGTCTGAGTGCCAAGGGTGGTACGGTAAAAAAAAAACTGACTTGTGACCTTACAGATAAAGGTATTTGATTTTTTCAAAATAAAACAAAATCCAAGGATGAGGTTGTGGTCAGCACACCGAGATTTATTAGACCTATAGAAACGCACCAATGTATTATTTCACCGACCTCGACTTGTTGCACAGTGTAGTTATTAAAGAGTGCACTGTAACATTTTTACAGTAAGGCAAGTTAGATCCGTTAGAGCCGTTAGAGACAGACTTCGTTTGACTTGCAAAGCGAACGGTCGTGTTTTTTTGTGCGCTCCGAACTTTTATTGTTTTTGTAATAACCCAGCTGTGAGATATAACAACATTTTTTACTACTCGGTCAATTAATAAAAACTTTAATATAACCGTTCGCTATAGTGATCTATATTAACAATTTATTTAAACTTTTTTGTTTTCTTTTCTGTGTATTTAAAATTTTAGCTGTTTTTTTTTGTGCTTTGTCTGTCCACGCCGTAGTATTGTTTTTGGTGCTAGACTTGCAGGCGCTTTCTGCATTACACTCCCGCTCTCTTGATCTCCCGCTTTCTAAACTCCCACTCTCTCTCTCTCTCTGTCTCGAAAGTTCTAAGCGTGCAGCTTCTGCACTCTTATGGTTTCTTTTATGTATGCGCAAGCATATATTAAATTGTTTATTATTATGATATGATAATAGTAGTATGTGATGACGTGTGCCTGTGGAAGGCCTGACTTCTGCTGCAGTTAGATCTGCATTGGTTGACGACTGCGTATGGACTGACGATAGAGAGAAGAGTAAATAGGGAACAACTACCGACTTACGCATACACAATACCCCCTGACACCCAGATGGGTCATAGTATTGTGGGGGTTGTCGATGTCGTCTTGATCTTCCACTTGAATCGTTTCCAAAGATCGCATTGGCGAAAACGGCAATGTTGGGTGTGGATCGGGAACAGATTTGTCGACAGACGTAGACGGAGTAGTAGGCTCGCAAGCTCGAAGCTGGTCTAGATGACGTCAAACTACACTGCTATCCTCGAGATTTACCGCGTATGATATGGGTTTAGTCTGCTCAAATACACGACCTTCAATCCATTTACGGCCGCTCGAGTAGTTTGAGCTCCCGCTTGAGGAGCAGCTCTGCTGGCAAATGCCCCGTAGTCGAGTGTGGTGTGCAATGTTGGCTGAGCAGATATCGGGCCAGGGCTAGATTAAAGTCAGTATCTCGCTCCATCTTTTTTAAGAAAACCTATGTGCATTGGACCATTCGCTCAGCTTGGCCATTCGTTGCTGGGTGAAAGTGCCGATCGGATATGGCGAATAAGGTTATGGCTCATAAATATTTTAAACTCATCGGATGTAAAAGCAGTTCAGTTATCCGAAACAAGCTCGTCTGGAATTCCATGAGTAGAAAAAAGCAGGCGAAAGAACGCAAATCTCGAGGAACTTGGAACAAGAATCAACGACCAAAAAAAAACGGTCCTGCGAATTCAACATGGAAACGGGACCAAGGTATTTTAATGGATTCCCACAAGCTTACTTCTTATCTATGTGGCTCATTTCGTGTTTCTTAACAAGCTTTGCAGCGCATAACTGTGCAATCGATACCCGATATTTATCCACCAAATGTAGTTCCTTGATAATGCTTTCATTTTGACAATTCTGGGATGATGCGCGTGAATGTGCGCTCACAATAGGTTTGGCTGCCCATTCAATCATTAAAAGGTCCACCTTGGTAAGCTGTTTGGTCGAAACGGTGACCTTTTTTAACTTGGTGAAAGGCTCATGATGCTGCTGCGACCATTTCCTTGAAGAACTTTTATTCAGAAGGCGATGCAATGGCTCTGCAATGGTAGCATTGTAAGAAAACATGAATGACACAAACTAGCGAGTCCAGGAAGGCTTGTAAGTGCTTCTTATATGTTGGCGCTGGTAAGGAGTGTATGGACTTGACCTTGTCTACCGAGGGCCGTATGCCTAGATGAAATAGAAAGGACGTCGATAAGTCTGACTGATAAGTCCTCGTCAAACTTTCCCATGACCACAATATCGTCGAAATACGGCAATTCTCTTCGAAATACGGCAACTACCAGTTGCTGATAAACTTGCGCTATTGATGCAATACACTTTATTGATGCAAAAAGCGTGTTTATGGCCGTAATTCGATGGCAATGTGGTTGGTTGATCCATCCTTTTTAACAACAGGAACCGTCGATGTGGCCCATTCGGAATGTTTTAAAATTCATTTGCGCTCAGACGATCGAGTTCTTCTTCAAATGGTTTTTTACCATGAATTCCTTCGATACGAATTCCCAGAGGTTCGATCCAATAACAACCTAATAGGTTGGCCCCGACTCCAGATACTATTATCAGGGTCAAGTTGTCGATCTGATGGCGATTATAGTGTATAGTTGTATTAGTTATCCCCTTGACCGGGATCTGGCCTAGCCAGATTAGGCTTGTAGTTGAGGCATGTTTCGCATTTCCGCACATGTGCTCAGGAATCCCTGTGCATTTCTGGCCAGTAATAACGGGCCGCCAGCTTTGCAATCGTTTTCCGACTTTCCACATGTTCAGTGGCTGGTGAGTCTTTATTAGCCTTTAGGACGGTTTCCCTGAGCCCCCGTGGGACACATAGATTCCATTCTGTCACTTCTTTGCTGGCGCAAATCCAGCAGAAAAGTAGCGGCTGGTTTCGGCATCCTCGTGTCCAATGTTTGTGACCGCCACACCGTTAGCGGGCTTCGTGTGGGTACACGTCGTACGTGTGTGTCCTGTGGGCTCTCGGTGCTGCGTTGGGTGGTCTCCGATTAGTAGTAGGTGGCCTCCATAACGTGTTCTAATTATAGTTGTTCGGAGTCCACTTGCGTGTTTGACGGGCGCTTGGTGTCCTTCGTCTTCTTCGCATCTTGTTGTGGTGCTGTTGATTTGTTTCGCGAAAAATTGTTTTCTTGTATAATTGCATGTCGCTCCTTCTTGAGTTCTTCATATTCATCAGCCAGGACCATTAGAGCTTGTAGATCATGTATCTTAAAAGTTCCCAGGGAGATCCTCAGATAAGGTGTGCAGTTGTTCTTTATCATTTCGAGTGTTTCCTTTGGGAAGTAGCCGAGTGGTCTTATCATGGTCTGCATGTCGACCATATGTCCTTGAATGCCTCTTTTTATTACTTAAAGTTTCTTGCTCGAATTTGAGGTAATTTATAAAGAAAGCTTCGAATTATTCAGCGAACAGTTAAAATACTAAAACTATCTGTTTTAGTATTTTTGAATTCCTCCGCGGAAATCGGGCTGCCATTACTATTCTATTTCAAAAGTGTGTGAAACCTAAGTGCATTGTCTGTTAAAAGTATTCCGGTTTTCTCAGCAGACTTGCTGATTTGAAAGTGCTTACAATTTATTAGCAATTTAAGAATATTGCGAAATGTGTTTGGGACTGTTCTTCCCCTTCTGATTTTATATTGGTTTCAGCGACCTGTAAATGAATACATAATTTAACGTCACTGTTTCCAGAGGTCGTATAGCTTGCGGTATTCAGGGTGCGAGACAAATGAGTCTACCTCCCATTCCCAAAGAATAAGACTGAGAAGAAAAATTGGAAATACAGCCTTCGAAGCCTTCGAGCAATTTAAAATGTCGCTCACTATATCGACACTTGTCTAATTTTGTCGGAATTAAGGATTGTCCTTTTTCAAACGCGTTCCCTCCCTAATAATGAATTGGCATAGTACCTAAACGGCAAAGATTGTACCAAACTCTCTTCCATCCTGCACCATGCTTTATGCTACTGACAAATTATACTCAATAATTACATTTAATCTTGTAAAGTCGAGTTACGTTGAATCTTTTACGTTTTTGATTTATAAAAATATTGGAATATATCAGTGTAAACAAACATTTATATTTCGGATGACGGTTATAAACCATGCCTTGATTATTATAAATAATCAACTACTACTAGTAATTTAGTTTATACAATGGATATAATTAATAGGGGGTTCTCGGTGAAGTTTTTTCTAGTTCGGCGCTCGGATGGGTCGTTCTCTCCGACTAAATACTCCCAGATTGGAAAGGATTCGGGAAGTTATAGACGGGATGTTCGGTCGGTCGGTAAAGACGATTTAATGATCATAACCGATCTGGACAGGGGCGTCGATGTTCCTCTCTAGGTCCCCCAGTCCATGTCAAACAGGATCCACCATCTTTACTACCAAGATGGATCTAAAGATAGCTGAGTGTCAGGACTTAAAGGGTTCCCTTTTAAAAATGCAAAATCCCACATTTACAATTCGATCTAAATCACTTTCAAAAATGGGGCCGGTATAGTTTACAAAATTTAAACGGCTATACGATAAATGTAAGGTGATGACTTTATAGCTTTTCAATCCAAAATACACGATTCATCCTCTTAAAGACTGCTCTTGTAAACGATCTTGGAGTTCGAGGATCCCTATGTCGCCAAGACTTTTTATATTTCGCTAGTTCGTCCGATTCTGGAGTAATCCCATCTGGAGTCCGCATTATGAAATAGGTATATATTGACCGCATTGAATTAGTAAAAAAAACTTGTTTACTTTTTACCTTCTTATTCTGTAGAATACTATTAATTAATTTACCCTCCCCAGCCAACCTCAGAACGATGCTTGTTACTGTCTTAATCTATAACCCTATACGTGGTGAAATTGATAACCCCGGCTTGGTGGGCCGTCCTTACTGCACCAAGTAGATTAACTAAAAATTATATTCCTCTAATATTAAATTAGAGTATTGTAAGGATGCTCTCTGGCCGGGGTTCAGATCTCAGTCGGATCCAGAAGTCCTTAACAAGAAATTTATAAATCACTGAAGTCGGAGTCTCTTGTTTCGCAGCAGAGATGAAAAATTTACCGGGCTGGACCTACGTGCGAGGCCACGCCAGATAGAGTTCGTCAGGTGGACGGCGACGGGGGTAAAGGGTTTCAC